TTTTTTAGTTAAGATCATTTTGAACTTAATAAAGTTTCCATTTTCCTAGTATTAATTAATACACTTGCTACAAAAATGACTTGGATTCAAAAGAGATTATCAAAAGTTAACAGTATTATATTAACTTCTAAGAAGTAGAATTTAATTTAAGATTTACTACTAGTATTAAAAGTAAGTAAATATTACATTCATTCAATATGAAATTCTTTATTGATTAATATTAAAAAGCAGTTTATCTATATAATATTATGTGATGTTATAGCAGCAAAAAAGATTAATATTAACTTTAATAATAATAATATAGTATTTGATAAAGATATTAAATTGAAGAAGAATAATCACAGATAGATAATGAAAAATGAATTAATAATAAAAAAATTCAAATTAATAATTTTATTAATTGTCATGATTTAATATATAAAATTAAAATTGGCTTTTTTTATAGCAATGAATTATTATTTGAATGATCTCATTTTACCTGAAAATCTTCTTTTCATTTTACTTGATTTAAGAATGAAAAATTTTAGTTTTATTTCTAATTTAGAATGTTTATAGCTAAATATTTATTAAAAAATAATATGAAGAATTAAAGCTTAAAACTCAACTGATAAACTATTATCACTCGTAAACACTGAAAATGAAAAAAAAAATTAAAAATGCAAAAAAAAATTTACTATTTTTGCTGACTTAAATAAGAAAGAAACTCCAGCTGATAATGAGGTTATCAGATATCTCCAACTAGAAGAAATTGATTTAAAGGTCGACCATTTATATAGTGGTATGAATGAAGAGAAAAGTTTTCAATTTTAACTTGTCTTGCTAAGAAATATTTAGCAGTTTTATGCATGCTCAACTTCAAGCAAAAGATTATTCTCAGATGTTAAAAGTATATTGCCTGCAAAGAGGCTAGAATGTGCTCTGATTTATTGAAAAAGTTGATATTTTTAAAACGAAATGGTAAGCATTTAGGCTCAATTCATGATGAATCTAATGAATCTAATGAATCTGATGAATCTAATAATTCTTAATGATATTAGTATAATATTATTACTATTTCTATACAAATAAAAATTATATGCATTATTGATATCTAAATTTAAGCATTGATGATGTTTATTAAATAAATATGATTACATTACGATAACTATTAATAGCTTAATTATAAAGTATAAATACATTATAATTAATATAAATAAATATTCGAAATAAAGTAGCGAGCGAAAACTAAGCATTCTTAAAAACCTAAAAAAGTATTAAGCTCAAGAAAAATCAGTTTCCTATTAAAAAATTAACACCACTCTTAAAAAGAAAAAATAAGAAAACTCTTAACTTGAAATTGTAACCAAGTCAAACTTAATTTCTAGAAAAAAGAAGGAATGTTTAATACTGTTAAAGAAACCTTCAATACTTAGTTGGTACCATCAAAGCCGTCAAGTTGAAGAACCACCATTCCTAATGAAAATATATATTTGTTAAAATTATTAGGCGATTCATCCGACGGATGAAACAGGTTAATCCGGATTTTTGTTGACGGATGACGGAGATGGATCACGTGTTTTCAGATAAAACGGATGATGGATGATACGCGGATTGGAAACCTGAATCTCGCATAGAGAACTTTCAGTTTCGCCCTATATGTCATTAACCGACACCTTAGTTTGGAAACATTTACTTTGTATTATATCGCTTTTAGCATTTGCACATACGTAGTTTATAATGTTTATGTACACATATTTGTTGGAATATGACCTTGAAATGACCTCAAAAACCTACTAGTTGTAGGGATGGGGACGGTTCTATCGGTTCCAATTCGGTTCCTCTTCGGTTCTACTTCGACTCTTCTTAAGTAAATTAAAACTTTGAACGTTTATATTAATAGAGCATCATGTGATGATCAATTCAAAAAAATTTTTTGACTGGTTATCAAACAAATTCGTCCTATTATTACCTTAAATTTGATGATAATCCGATTTTGAGCCGGTCGGTTCCGGTTCGATTTTTAAAATTGGTTAAAATGGTTTGTTCCCAGAATAAATTATAATCGGTTCCAAAACCGACTCAGAGTCGCTCTTTTTGAACCGTCCCTATCCCTAACTAGTTGCGAGGAAAATAATGGAAAAATCCGAAAATCTACGTTTCAATTTCGACGGTAAAAAAAGTCGAGCTTTAATGATTTTAGAAGTTTAATAATTTTTTTTTATAAAAACAAAATATGCCTGTTTTTAGTTTTAAACGTGAAATTTTTCTATCTTTGTTTTAAAAATATCTTTATTTATATACAAATATGTAGATAGGATGGAAGTAAATAATCCGTTGTTTAGTCTTGAATTGTAAAAACGATATTCTAACGCCTATGACGATTTTATAGAAGAATTTCCTAAGTCTAACTAAAAATTTTTATTACAAATATTACAAACCAGAAGGACTATGCTACGGATAGTTATAATAATGAATAATATAAAAAGAATAAACCTACGATAACTTGTCGGCGCAGTGCTGCGAAAGCACAGCCTAATACCTTCATATTTTTATCAACCAAATTTGTCTGACCGAAAAAGTCTGACATTGTGTCTAACAAAACCACCAAAATGTTGTTAAAAAAGATTTATTGAATCAAAATAAATTTCAAGTTACTTTAGATTTTCCATCATATGTCAATTTTAATTTTTATCTTTTGAAATCACCCTTTTTGTTGAATTTTGTATACGTTTAAATGGTTTTGAACGTAACACTCCCGTGTGTTTCTTTTGTATGGTTATTACTTTTCTTTTTTCTCTTGCTTCCTCAATCAAATTTCCTTTATGGTATCTCTTATATCCTTTATATATCGTTTCTTCAGTATGACATTCAATAATCGTTTTAGTAATAATTTCTGTTTTAGTAAGTATATCTTTCAAGTTTTTTAAGTCCACAAATTCAATAACTAAAATCGTTTGCTCAGAAATTTTTGCCAGATTTTTAACTTCTTCAAGGGCTTGAGTTGCAACTACCATTAATCCGATATGATCAGGATATCTCGTCAAAACTCCTTGCAATGCTGATACATCTGTTGGGGTTTGTTTGCATACACATTTAACTATAAATTTAATTGCTCCATCTTCAATTTTGATTGATCCAATTCCATCATAACCATTGTTTCCAATTTTGAGTCTGTTTACTTGTCCTGTGGTACTATCAAGTACCAATGAATGAGTCTTCGTTAATGTGCAAATTCCTCCAATTTTTATTATAGTATTCCTGGTCTTATCCCTTATCAAATTGTCTTTTTCGTAATTTTTCATTTGTATTTTTAAAGTTTTTTGCGACATCATTCGTTTTATGCTCTTTTTTTTTTTTTTTTTTTTTTTTTTAGCAGCAAAAATTTCAACTTATTTATATTTGTAGAATATGTAACATAAAAATTTGTCCGACAATCAGAAATTTGTTATGAATCGAATGATAATATAATATTTATCGATCGATGGAATACATACTCCGTTACACAATCCTTATCATCCGTTTTTAGCAAAATCTTCTAATTAGAAGCTTCCAAATGCATATCATTAACGCCAGCTGGTACTGTTTTAGAATTCTTGGCAGCAGATCGTGAGGAACTTGTTAAATTTTTTTTTCAAAACTTTTTTTCTTAATTAAGTAGCAGCTTAACTAATATGATATCCTTATATTTTTTTCTTTAAAAAAAAAAAAAATCAAAAAGTACCCAAAATCATATATTGAAAACAATTACTTTGTGAAATGAAGTTTCTTTAGAATATGTAAAAAAGAGTCTCAGACAAAGTTATACGTATTTTTGTTAGCCATTTAAGAGTTCAGGGTCAAATTTTTTACAAAAATCGTTTGTCGTTTAACTTTCTAAAAAGTTGTCGATCCTTTAATCATAAATTTGAAACAATTTTTTATGAACATATCATATATATGCTTGAAATAGTGGTTGGAACCGGTTTATGTATACGGTTAAAGATTTTTTTTTAATCGGTCGGCCGAAATTACGGTAAGATTTTGGCCAGAATTAAGATAAAATTTTTCGATAACTCTGGCCAAATTTATTACAATTTACAGTAACCGGTTAATTAACTAGTTCCAACCACCTAATCATGTTAAATATGGATTCTGATGTCTATTTTTAACATTTTTAAAAGTTTTATCATAATTGTCCTAGTAAAGGATCCATATGACTACAAATGCTCTTAATAAATATACAAAATCGCGACATTTTTAAAATAATGTTGAAATATGCAAAAAAATAATTTTGCAGTAAGTTATACTTAGTTATATTTATTATTATAGACAAGTTCAAATGCTTGGGCATCGTTGCGTTGTTGTTATTGAATCATTTGGATAGCTATACATAACTATTAAGAAATCAATCCTATATATATAGCTAAGTCCTTAATCATACTTATTCTTCTGATTCAATTCTGCCGATCAGTTAGGGTTTCCACGACAGAGTTATGGAAATCCTAATTGACACCCGCAGATCGGCAAAATGGTGAAGAAAAATACTTTGTTACAGAATAAAGATAATTGACTATCACCGGTTACAACTCATTTGAATTAAGGAAACTAAATATTTTGATTTTAAAAGCATTCACGTAACATTGATCAAGATTAAGGTCCCCGATACAACTTCTAATATATGCGCCGTTTCCTAATGTGAAGGAACAACTAAGCCATTATTCATATCGCAATTTTGAGACCATAAGGCATTAGTCCAAGTTTACATTCCACAAATAAATCAACTATTAAACACTTGGAATCCACCAAATTTATTAAGGTATGTATTATTTTATTTATCGTTACGTCAAAGGCTCCGAATTTTTTTTATATGGGTGAATTCACTCGCTATGGAATTATATTTAGGAAAAATAACAGGTAATTAATAATTAATTATTATCCGTAATGATAAAAATAAGACTTGTTCAAAACGTATTTTGTTAAGGAACCAATTTGAAATTTAAAAAATAATTTGAATCTCTATACTTTATGCAGATTTAAAGGTCAAAAGAACTAACAAAAAAGATAATGGGATTTACTTTCATTGAAGTGGGTCCCATCATAATTTACCCAATTCATTAGATAATTGTATTTAACAGCGGTTGTATAATTACGATCAATAATAAGGCAGAGTGCACTTCGTCAAACATAATTTTATATATAACAATCTATAGTATATTGGAGACAAGGATACATGCATCATCGGATAGCATGACTAGTTCATTCGTCAACCAATTTCGTTTGGCATCGTATGCTCCGTTGATTTTAGATTTATACATCCTCACTTCCGAAACGGATAAAATCTATGAATAAAAAATGCATCTCAAGTATTTATTCTCGAATATTTCCTTATGTACTGTGTTTTCCATCTAATAGTTTTTTGCCCACTTTGATCGATTAACTGAAAATTTTATATCATCACAAAACAATGGTTCCAGTCAAAAATTAGGTATGTTTGAGACGTTGATTACACACTTCCATAATTCCTCACGCTTTAACAGAATATACTAGTTTTATTGGATATTCAACATGGGCATATTTTGTTATATTAATTTATCTGCTTCCAGGAAAATCTTAGTAAAAATCATCATCACCATCAACGCGTAAATTCGATGCAGTATCACGAAAAGATGTGATCAAAATTACAAATAAAAACAAATACTTACCAATGTAATACGAATGTGAGGCGGAATGCAATGATTGAAAAGGTAAGAATAAATCGGATGTACTGTTTATTTTTTTTTTCTTTTGCTCCGGAATTTGCACTTACTTTAAGTTCGAGGTTGAAACCGGTTAATTTTTAACCAGTTAAAATAGATGAATTTAAATCCGGCTGAAATTCAATTTCCGGCCAGAATTAAGATTTTTATGATTGACAAAATATTGTCTAACTCTGGCCAAATTTATAATACTGGCCAAAGTTAATTTTAACCGGTTAATTAACCGGTTAACAAATATTTTAACCGGTTATTAACCGGTTAAAGAATTTTCGGCCGGTTCCAACCTCTATTAAGTTCTCTTATTATAAATCATATTTACAACCAAATGTTGGATATAAAATTACAAGGGAAACCATCTCAAATAAGGAAAACAGTACACAATTTATTAAATTTTTTTTATACAGTATATAATACTTTTTGAGGAATCATCCTTCTGCATTTCTTTAAATGAAATGTGAGTAAGATGCCTAAAGCTTTCTCCCACACTTTTATAATATATATTGAATCCCTTTGAATCCCACAACCTTTATATTACTATTAATTATTTAAAGATATGTTTTAGAATAAGCATTATATAGAATGTCAAGCCACTAAGTCGATCAAATTCTGTTCACTAAAGAGAAAAAAATGTAAAGAAGTCAAAAAGAATGATTTAATAAAGGTAAGTTAAATGAAAGATAGTATTTTTTATAATATTTATTACATACAACTTGTAAAAAAACCCTTTAAAAAGAGATCTAAGAGAGCAAAATCACAGACAAAAAGCTATAAATGAAAATGTCTTAAACATAGTTGAGAAAAAAGCAAGTACAAATGTTAACCTTATTTGAACTCAAAGTGATGGCAAAAATCCTTTATGAAAAAGAACATTCAAGAAAAGAAGGTCCTATTTATGCATTTGATGAAATGTGAAAAATACTTCAAGAAATTAAACTAATTTTGACTGATTTCTTTGATCAACTTTATTCAGTAACTCAACTAAGTGAATGCAATGAACAAATAATAAATCATATGAAAGATATATGGTACTTACTCATAAGTTATCTTCTCACTTTATTTAAACAATACTAAAATTAATTATCTTAAGATTGAACTTACATACTATTTAGATTCAGTAGATACAAGTAATAAAGATCTAAATATGATGGCAAATCTTAGCGTATCTATTATAGTAAAAATAATAGATTATAAAAAGAAGAAAATGTCAGATACACATAAGAGATATATCAAGAACTCTCTTAAAAAATATTCAAATAATAGCTTTATATTAAATATCAATGATTATTATAATATCTATATTCAGAGACAAGCTGATAATACTAACTCATCTTAAGCAGTTCACATAATTACAATTTTAGCTAATCCATATTTTACACCAGAAATTCTATATAATAGAGTAATTAATTTAAAGATCATTGATAGTGAATTAATTTTAAAACATATTGACAAAAAATTCATTATAAATCTTAGTATTTCTTACTATGATCATATAAAAGATTATATAATAAAAGATTCAAATGATGAGATTTTGATAGATAGACTAACAATATACAATTACAATAATCAGTTGATAGAGAAAAGAAATAATCATTATATACAAAATGTAATTCTTATTGATTTCATCAAAAATAATTTGAAAAGTGTAAAAGATTATATAAAAGTTTTTCAAATTATGAATTATTAGTAACTAATATAAGAGTATTTATATAACAATATAATTCTTATCATTTAAGACTAGCCTGGTCAATTATTTATTTGAAAACTATTGCACATTGATATCTCCTTAATGATAAAACTATTTTACCATTTATCATATAATTTGTGCCTATTATAGACCTTTTTCATATATATTTGAATTTCTGCAAACTAATTTTTGTAAAAAATTTATTTTATTTAACGATTTTTACAAAAACATATTTAGAATATATAAGCATCTTGGTAAAGGTTACAAATATGAAGAATTGATCTAATTCTTTATATCATAAATATAGTGTAATTTGATATTACTAATACTTTCTATTTAAAGATTAGTAACACGTGCAAGAATATAGAGTTTTATATATAATTTATTTATTAAGCAATTTGATTTGATAATTTATATATTTGTAATATAATTTTACTAATTTATATAACTCGTATTATTTACAATAGTATTTTTTATTCAAAGTTATATGATAAAATTTATGATTTTAATTGGCTGATAAATTAGAAAATTTGTATAACAGGAAATAGTCTCTCTTAGAGTGTAAAATATATGGTTAAAAGCTTACTATAACTAAAAATGTTATTAATAGAAACTTTTCTTAAATTGGGTTTTAATTTATAAATGAGAAGTATATGCATAGAATATATAATCATAAAATCAACATAAAAATATACTTATTGCTTATTTTTATGATTTTATAAAAATAGAAATTATTTTTTACTATATTTGATATAAAGCATCAAATTAGGTTAGGTTATAAGTTAGATTTCAGATTACATTAAAAAAATTAAAAAAACAGTTTTTGAAATATTTTAATATCTAATAATCTAAAATAATCATAATATAGTTTATTGAATTCATTTTTATATGACAAATCAAATAGTAGCTC